GGCGTTGAGGGGGTCTTTTCCTGCCTCAAAAATATTACAAGCGGAGCTAGAGAACGACAGCTAAACGCCATTGGCCGATATTTATAGTAACAGCCATCTTGTTTGATGTCATTAAGGGATTCCCACTTTGTCAGTCATGGTGGCAACACAACCGCACGACGGCAGCCTGCCGGCTTGTATTATTTTCTATTGCAACTTGCAGAACTGTTCTGTTCGGTTGTCTGTGATTGTGCAGCACCCTTGTTCTGCTCAGATTGATTCTGATATGCTGTACACTACGTAAACTGAGAGGAAAAAGAAGAGCAAGAGTAGGCCTACATGGTACGAAAGCAAGTTCAAACAAAGTTCAACTACGCATTGCAAATCACAAATTATTGACTGTTTCGATCCAGATCGTTTCTTTATGTGTTTTCAGAAAAAGAAATTAAGCACTTATAAGAGATTGGACTCAATAGGACGCTGAGCTGCAGAAGGAGCAGATCTAATTCGAGACTGCGAGGTTTGGAAATGAATACTGTGATGTGCAAAAGCAGTATCACCTACTAGGGGGAACCACTAGAAAAGACTCAATGAGAGAGACTTGGAAACTTGCAGTGCAAACTGCAAGCTACGCAAAATCATCACTATGTTTAGAATCACGATCAGATGATGCTGTAGGCATCCCCCTTGCGAGGTCAAACAATGATGGCTGTTACTATAAATATACTGGCCAATGGCGTTTAGTTGTCGTTCTCTAGCTATCCGCTTGTAAGAATAATGGTTTGTGACAGTTTTTAGTGCCAAATTTGTTCTCAGCACTCTAAAAAATGTGCCGAAAAATAGTCTAATATAATCAGTTTGGACCTTGTCTATGAATTTACTGGTAGCCTTTTCACGCTGGCAACTCAATCACTTTTTTGCTTATTGACTTCCGTTTTTGTTTCCGATTTTGCATATAAATTCCTATGAAGTTCTCCTGAAGAGTGCCCTCACGGAGTATTATAGATCTGGAGTTTAGATCTAGATCTAGATCTAAAAGTTAGTCGTTTAATTGGCACTCTTCAGAAGCAGTCGTCCTGGCCTAGATCTAGATAGATCTACCTCCATAGAATAACACAATCGGAAACAAATACATAAGTCATGTAAAAAAGTTGGCTGTGCCTCTACTCGGGAATTTGTGAAATTGAATTTTAATTGGTGTGGTTAAAACAGTTGGCAATGGTGCATAACGACAAAGGCGGGGAAATTTGATCAGAGATGGAAAGTTATAGACATTTTGGACATATTATAGGCAAAGGGGGAAGAGCAAGTGGACAAGCGTAGGTCTGAAGACTCACTTTAATGGATAATAAAAGTGAAAATGGCATGCCTCACGCCACTGTGATTGGTCATCATGGTTGCCCTCTCTTTGCTCGTCATAAAAGTCACAAACCCACCCAGGGCTCATGTCAGTTCAATTTAGAGTAAAGGGAGACCACTTTACTGATTGTGGACCTTAACGTTGGCCACCATGGATTCTTTCTTGGTGCGCTGTCTAAGATCCCTTTCACTTAGGCTCTGGCATTTTGCTGACTCCGGAGCACCGGGATCTTAGCGGAGACTACTGTAGTGTTGAGAAATTGTGTGCACTTGGCAAGAGAAAGACTAGATAATGTGAATGAGAGAGACTTCCACACTGAAAAAAGCAAAAATATAGGTAGCTTTAAGCTCTTAAGGCTTTAGGTTTCATAACTGTCGCTGCAGATTCATTATTTAAATGTTGTTAAATCAGGTCTGATGATTTATGGGGTGGTTAGTTCTGCATCTGAAGTAATGAAGCAGGGGGTCAGTTACAATGGATAATGCTGTATGGGACAGCCCCTCACATAGGAATGAACAATATATATGTCTTAACCTGGCTGAAGAGAAAAAAATGGAGATTGACTCAGATTGTGTCATCAGTCTTTTAACAGAGCACCCACGGGCATCACTATGTCCCACTTTGAACCCATTTAACTGTTTTTCTTCAGAGGTTTCTCAAAGCAAATCAGGGGCTCTCGTGGCCTTGAGGTTAAGGTGTTCGCCTCTCGTTCAAAAGTTCCGGGTTCGAATCTGGATGGTGACGGAAAACATTTTTCTTCTCTAAAATTGTCTCCTTTCACCTCTTTTCCTGCTTTCTAGCAATATTTTGTCGTGTTCTTTTGTCTCTACTTTCTGCCACCACCCCCTCACCTCCTTTGTCCCCTCCTGTGGGCTCCTGACTCTTTCTGCAGCTTTTCTACTGCTACTCCTTGGCTCCCTCTTACTGCTGTCTTTCGGTTACACCCCTGATCTTCTGGTAGGAAAGATCTACACCTAGCCTTCTCGGACAAGGGTGAAAAATCTAGGTGGCCCCATGTGCAAGTTGTGCACGTTAAGGATCCCTTGGTGGTCTAAAATCAATAAGAGTAGGCTTCGCCCGCCACCCGGGCCAAATTCAAAATTTCCTACCAACTGATAAATGTTTGGTGTGTCCCACAGGCTCATATGACCTTATGCAGTTGTGAGTGCTGTAGTAAAACACTTACCAAAAGAAGAAAAAAAAAAAAAGACAAAGTTCGTCCAAATCTCAGGTGAAAGGTTCTAAACCCTTCAAGAACTCTGAATTTTAGATGAGGAGTTTGTGCAGTAACCAATTTTTTAGACTTCACACCTTCTTTTAAATGTGATCTCACATTGTGGCACAGCCATGTACCAGATAATCTAAACTGGCTTCATGGGCTGGATCTAGGCCGCGATCCATAGTTCGTTGACCTTTATTCGAAGTCATTTTATGATATCAATGTGATACCACTTTAAAGACTTAACAGAATTATGTATGTGGGCTTTTTATCTTTGGTTTAATTTTTAAAATTATATTCCCTGTTATAAGAAAGTGATGCAAGTACCTCAAATTATAATTTATGCTAATAGGACACCTTGGATGATTGAGTGATTATTCCTTTGTGTCGGTTTGAGTGGATTATATTTACTAAAACAACTGTGTGTTTTTATGCCTGTTTTTATTTTCTATCAAATCTGTATGGAAATAAGGTGCAAATGGTCATTGACCTTGTTAGAAAATAATATTGTTCTGGTTTAGATGTCAACTTTGTGTACACTGGTAGATTACCTTACTGTGTTAATCACTACTGCTATGCCCACTGTGACTGCTGTTCTCCAGCTGGGTCTGTTAGGGGCAAGGCTCTCCCATGTCAAAGGATTTTTGTGGAAGTCCTTCAGAGAGATTTTCAGTGTTTTTGTAGCGCTTTTTTTGGTGCGCCTTCCTCACGCTTCCCTGAAAACAGTTCAGAATAAAACACTGCCTTTGGGATTCTGAAATCAGGCCTTCTTATGACATGGCCAGCCTATCTAAGTTGAGTCTCTGGACAAAGTTAGACTATATAATCTGTAGATTTTGAGTCCGCCCCCACTTTTCCATGGAGTCCATTAATTTCCTTCTTTTATTTTTCATGACCATTCAGCAGCCTTGTATAAGGTTTCCGCCCTTGTTACCCTTCTCTGTACTACTCTGGCTTTGACCAGATGACAAGGACATGTGGTTTCTTGAGTGAGGCATTGCACTGCCAAGAGCAAAATGCTCGCTGCTAAAGGGATTTGAAAACGACAAACAACAACAACAACCCTTTTCTGTTATGAGCAGTTGTCAGCTCGATCAGAATTACAAAGTTCTATCTGCTCAATACCTAGTTTTGAGAAGTTTGACGTCAAAGATTTTGAGTTTCACATCATGTCAAGCTTTTTAGAATGTAATTCTCTGAATTTCTTGATAACGACTCTGAATATTCTTACGATTTTGATAAAACTGATAGAGCATTTGGTTTCTGGCCTCGTGGTCATAGTAACTCAAAACGGCCAAAAATGTCAGGTAAAACTTTGTGATTTGTAGGTTGCGAGCTGCTGGCTTCTGGCTTCTGGCTTAGCTTGCTAAATCTTTCTTTTGCCTGGTCTAAGATATGTTGTTGTTATTAATTATGATATTATCTATTTGATTTTACAAATGATTAACAAGGGGTGAGTGTGTGTGTGTGTGTGCGTGTGTGTGTGTGTGTGTGTCTCATAGAGAGAGAGAGAGAGAGAGAGAGAGAGAGAGAGAGAGAGAGAGAGAGACAGAGACAGAGACAGAGACAGAGACAGAGACAGAGACAGAGACAGAGACAAAGACAGAGACAGAGAGACAGAGCTAGAGAGACAGAGACAGAGAGAGAGAGAGAGTAGATGACATAGCATTATGACATGGTTTTTTGTTCAATTTATCATCGATGATAATCAGTTTAAGAGAGAGAGAGAAAATTATGTAAGAATATAAATAGGCCAGGCTGGGAGGCAGGAAATAGTTGAGCTGTATCATATAAATATTGATTATTGTCAGTAAAAGTATCATGTTTCCTTTTTGTGTGCGTCATCATCCCTCGCAGTAGCACTGAGCTATTTCGTCACCAATGTTTACCGTTTGCTCTCTTTAATAATATATGAGGTGAAAACAGTTCATCAGGCACATGTGGTTAGATTAGTAGGTGGAGTAAAGTGAATCATCGTGACCGAATTAATTTTTACACTTGGAATAGTAAAAGTCTTTGTGCAGGAACGTATAAAAGGAGGTGTGTCATGAAAATGCTCAGTGATTGGTTGTTGCTATTCCTCTCCTCTCCTTTGTTGGCAAGTGCTTGAATTGGAGTACAAAATGTACATTTTTTGCCTGCTTTTAAAAAAATATATTTTTTCTCCACTTTGTTGCAGTTCTTCTTTACTCAACGAGGGAGACTTTTCAAAAGACATTCTAGATTTAGCAGTGGTTATTTCGTGTTATAGACTATACTTTATATAATGGAGCCAGTTCGACTTATCGTTAGTATTTGTTCTGATGTGAGAAGTAGGAAATTGCAGATGCCTAGCGATTATTATCAATCAGAAAAATCTGTTCCAGGTGACCATTCATTGTCGGAGAGAAAAGTTGTCGTCTGAGACATATGGTCCCCTTGGGCAGTGTTATTATATGTGTCACGATGTGGTGGAATCAGGCTCTCATCAATTTTTGCGCTTGTACAGTGATTGGTATCATTTGAAAGCTTGTTCATTAATCTCGAATTGTATTAAAAAACTATCCTTTTATCTTGAACACAAGTTGAGATATTTGCGAATGAAGGAGGTGGGGGTCACCTTGTTTCGGAGGTAAAATTAGTGAGAAAATGGCCGCCAAAGATTAGTTATTTCCTTAGCTTGAGAGTCCATAGAAACTGAAAATGTACTTTTTTGTGCCTTTAATCAACGTTTTTAAGTAAAATCCACACAGAAATGTGTTCTTAAATGGATATGAAAAGTGTTAAGCCAAAAAACAAAAATTCGATAAAAATTCACAAACCTGCAGAAAAATGCCAGGTTCCTCACATTGATTATTTTGACGAGCGCCTGATTTCACCACGCTGCCTCTCATATAGAAAAAGCACAAGCAGGTTAGTAGGATTAGTAGGAAGTGGTAATTTGTACAAATGATTGTTATGACAGACTGCCATTAAAGCATGTTCAACTGTATTTGTTTGATTACTGAACTATAGATGAACATGAATTTAGTGCTTAGAAAGAATGTGGTACTGAAAGGGAGTGACACACATCAAGTGGATTGTCACTGGACTCTTGAGAATAGAATTGTTTGTCTACTTGAGAGGATGGTTGGAGGGGTGCCACTTTTAGGTCCTCTTCTTTTCTTTCCCTCTGTTGTTTCAATATCTTTTGATCTTTATTTTTTCCTTATCGTTTTTCACCTAGGTTATTATTATTGACATTTTAAACATAGTATTGATATGCTTCTTTTTACTCAAACCATAAGAATGAACTGAAAATGACATGCTGCCAACAGAAAAATTTGACCCTTTTTTTTCTTCGGTAAGAATGATTTGTACTAAGAAAGAACCAGTGAATGAGGTGCTTCCGGCATCTGTGTTATAATGATGGTTAGGCTCTTCATTGTTCCATGTGGGAAACTTGAGTTTAGTTTGCAAGTGGGGAAGCTATTTTGTAGAGTATCTCCGTCTGTCTTCTCTTGAATGTTGCATCTCAGTTAGCCGAGGCTGGTCTTAACACAAAGCTGACACGATGGAAGCAGTCAGTCTGCTCTACAAAACCAAGTCGATAGGGGCTCTAACCATGTTACGGTCTTTTAATCATTCTGAAGCAATCAATGTATTTGGTTTGTTTTTGATTTGATTGTTTTGATTAATTTTTTGTTTTCATTTCTTTTCTCAGCAGACAACTGCATGGTCTGTCTTCTTTTGTTCAGCATGGAAACATGTTCTGCTTCAGATGGAAGAATATTTCTTAGATTTTGCTAATATCTGGAACTGAGTAGTGGGAAGTGAGTGAAGTATTTGAACTACTGTGGACAAAGATAGTGCGAATAAAGTATTTGGAAAACTGTTAACAAAGAGCCCAGTTTTTCGTGTGCTCCGTTTTCACGACAACTTCAAAAATGTCTTCGAGATGTTTGCTACAGTTACGGCCTCTTTCGGTCAGTGGTAGCAGCAGAGGCTTGTGTTCTTCTACAAACAGACTCTTTGCTTGGAGGGAGCGGCGGACGAGTCACCAGCATCAGACTTGTAGTGTGTCCACCTGGACTCCATTCGCCGCTGCTTTCAACACTCGGCCACACCGAAAGCTCAACCTCAGGCTGAGGCGAGAGAGTACGGTAAGAATGTCTCATGATAGAACCCCAATGTCTGTGTGTGTAGTGGGAGGCACCACTTACAGGTCATACTTCTTTTATATAATCCCTCTTGTATTTAATTTCTGTCTGTCTATATGGCTTTAAAAAAATACTAAATGACTCTAATTGCTCAAATAAATGCAGTGTCTGGTGTGTAAAAGCAAAAGGGTCTTTGGAATTATTGTTTAGACCTTTTCCATCAACAGAGCTGCAGATTGTATTGTCCAAGAATACTGATGTAACAAAATATATTTTTGTGTTTATACCGCTCAATCTCTTCTATTCAGTATAGATCTAATGTTATATTACGATAGTGTTAGTCTAAAAGGAAGTATCTCGATGTGAACTTAAATTGATGAAAGACGTGCTATCTAATCCAGGCAATTTCAATACCATTTTTACAGGGTTATAAAGCCTTTAAACTGTTATGCTTGGTGTGTAATTATTTGCAAATGTCTTTTTGTTGGTACTTGGAGTACGCCTTTCTCTTGTTTCTGTTTGTGTGTCTCACTTTTTCCCTTGTACTTAATAGCAGTTATTTTGTAGATGTGCATCTCTTTCTTCGAAAATTCAGAGAGTCTTTTGGCATCTCAGGGACCTCAAAAGATCCCTACTACCTTTTATATATACCCTTATGGTGTTGAAAGGGGTGTTACAACAGTACAACTTTTACATGATTATTCTTATAAAACACTGAAACTAATGACTGCAGTGATTCAGTGGCTCTTTGTTAGACTCTTTGCTATTGCATGCAAGAAATTTGAGTCTGATTACTGAGTGGGGAAGATATTTTATTAAGTATCTTTGTCCGTCTGTTGAGATGCTGAATACCACTCAGCCCAGGTTGACCCTGATGGGCAGTGTCAAAGCAGACAGCATCCTATATGATTATTTTTAGATTCTGTCAGTGGGGGCTTAAAAAACCCCAACAAAAAACAGAAGACCACCAGCAAAAACAGAAACTCTACCATAGTTTGTACACTGTTATTAACATATAAGCTAAGCTTCTGTTTGTGAGGATTCTGAAATGCTTGAGCCTTGGTATGCTCTTCTTTGTAAATAGGCTCTTCTTTGTAAATAGGCTCTTCTTTGTAAATAGGCCACTACTACTATAATTAATCATTCTTTCTCTCCAGGGTTTGTTTGGCATCCCAGAGCTGAAGGACCACACAGGTTTCTACCTGCTGAAGCAAGGCGTGGAACAGGATGTGGAGAGGCTGCTGGAGGAGGCCGCCTCGCCTCTCAGGAGCCGCAAGATGGTCACCATCTTTGACGAGCTTTCCGACACCCTGTGCAGAGTCGCTGACTTGGTAGGTGGTCAGATTGTAGTGAACTTTGGGAAAATGCTTTATTTTTTCTGTGTCATGATCTCGGATGTTGCCTTGTTCTTCTGCTGGTGCCAGGTCTGAAACAGACCTTGGCTCTCATGATGTGCCGCTCATTTCTCTGCTCGAAAAAACCCCCAAAAAACGTACATACGTCAGGACATGATGGAATCCAGCGCTCTTCAATCTTTGGGCATATTGAGTTATTGGCTAAATCTTCCTATGCCTCTACTTTTGCCTTGCTTCTGATGAAAAAATACTAATTTATTTTGAATAGAAGTTGAGGTATTTATGATTGAAGGAGGTGGGGGTTGTTTGGTGTCAGAGGTAAAATTAGCGACAAAATGGCCACTTTCAAGCTGTTGTGTCCTTGGAAATGTAAATTATATACATTTTTGGGCCTTTGTTCAATATTTTCAGTTAAATCCAGGCAGGAAAGTATTTTAAAGTTGAACTGAAAAAGGCACAAAAAAAAGCAACAAAAAATAGATGAAAGTGGGTATGAAATCAAGAATGCTCAGTTTAAATAACCCGATAGTGTAATTTGCACAGGATTGAGCCTGGGATTTTAAAAAAAAAAGTTGACTTGGTGGATGTCTGTGTATATGTGAACGTTCTGTATGCAATGAAACTTCATCTCCCATTGTTGAAGAGAAAAGTGGTCATCTTAGAAAGGTGGTCCTCTTGGACAGGGCCATTAAATTAAAGAAAAAAAAAATAAGCAAGTGGAGAAGTGGGAAGTGGCTCATTTGAACAGATGATTGTGTGTCTCGGACAGGCGGTCATTAGAGCAGATTCATCAAGTGTATGTTCCTCTCCCCAGGCGGACTTTGTTCGTGCATCTCATCCAAAATCTGACTTTGCCGGTGCAGCAGAAGAGACGTGCGTGGAGCTCTCTAGTCTTGTGGAAAAGTGAGTTCTTCTCAAAGATTTTTTTTTTTTAAATCAAGAGTTTTACGGTGGCACTTGGAACACAATAAGGTCATATAAGTGCCGAAGATTAGAGTTTTTACAAGGGAGTAACAAGCACCAAAAAAATCAAGGAGGAGAGATAAGAATGATAGACGTTTAACTGGAAAGAAGAAGAAACCAAACCAGAGCACCCGCCAACCATCCACTCCTCTAAGTTTGTTAAGGGATACATATTTTCAAAATCTCTACAGCTTTTTAAAGTTTTAGTAAAAGTTTTACGGCACTTGCAACATGATTTGGTTATGGTCACATAAGTGCTGAAGATTAGAGGTGTTACAAGAGAGTATCAAACACAAAAAAGAAGGAGGAGAGATAAGGGCGATAGATATTTGATAGGAAAGAAGGAGCAAACCACACCAGAGCACCCACCAACCACCCTCATCTCTGAAATTTAGGCAGGGGACAATTTTTTAAAAAGTATAAAGCTTATAATTTTGCAAGGATAGCAACTATTCTTCTCTCTGTACGGATAATTGTACAATACACGATTATGGTCCACCTTCCTATTTTTGAGATACCAAAAAGGTTCTTAAAAGTGCCACTGGCTACCCCGACATTATTGCTTGTTTGATGGTATTTTTAGGGACTGCGGAGGGGGTGGGGGTTGGAGTTAGTAGAGCTAATGACTCATTTGAACTGGAGAAGTAATTATAACTGTTTGGACTGAGAATCGTGTCAGCAGCATTTTGAATCACATCTTTTTACCCACTCTAAGAGGTGTCAGTAGCTTCCTGGTTAGGCTACTAGACCCATAATCAAGAGATTGTATATTCGAGGGTTCGAGCCTCAGCTCAATCCAATGTTGTGTCCTTGGGAAAGGCACTTTACACAAATTTCTTATTTTGGCTCAGCCCTTTCAGAGATGGATGTTTAACTCAGAAGTCCTGCCTCTTAAATAACTTAATCATGCTGATAGGGCTGTTAAACCTATACGCATTTCATTATCAACTGCTCCAACACCCCTTCCCTGCCCCTCCCTTTCAACACAATGTTGATCACTCGGAAGATGGACTGCTTTGACCTTGTCTGTTGTGGCCAAACTGGGTAGACTGTGATGCAAATACCAGCAGACGGATACAATAGACCAGCAGACGAATATGACAGCAGATGAAAACAATATGACAACAGACGGATACACAGCAGATGAATACAATACCACAACAGAGGGATGCAGTATACCAGCAGATAAATACGATAGACCACCAGATGGAAAGAGATACTGGATAAATTAAAATAACCGCACCACTGTGGAGTAAAACTCCTGTCTTGTACATGCAATGCTGAAGAGCATTACCATTTCACCATAACACTAATGGAAATTTTTGGGGACAGCTACCATTTTTCATTGGTGCTTATCATTTTAGCGCGACCTGGGTGGTTGGTGGGTGCTCTGGTGTGGTTTATTTATTTACAGTCAGAATTGTACAAAACGACCACCCATTGTCGAGGAGCAAACTGGTTGTCTTAGTCAAGTGGACGTCCTGGACAGTGTAATTATTATTTTTTAACGCCAGAGGGAAGTGGGAAGTCGTTGTTTGTACAAGCAGTTTTTGACATGTGGCAGTTAGACCAGGTTCGACTGCATTTTGTACTAATTATTTCTTTTCGTTGTTTATACTTTTAACATGAATGATGATATCGGCAACATCAAAATGATCTTCTCACAGACTTAATACCAATCAAGCCCTTCACAACGCACTGCTAAATGTGTTGATAGAGGGCGACAGTGTGCCCACAGACGCCATTGACCAGAGAGTCACTGAGCTCTTCATGTTTGACTTTGAGCAGAGTGGAATCCATTTGGAAGATGAACAGGTGAGAGAATCCTATCGCAATACTTTGGTGGGATTTTGTCCCATAGTTTATGCAGCGAATTGAAATACATTTCGCTTTGGTGGCATCTTTTCCTTTGATTGTGCAACTTATTGCAATACTTTGGTGGTATCTTGTCCGTAGTCAATGCAGCTTTTTGCAGTACATTTCGCTTTAGAGGGATCTTGTTCATAGTTAAGTTTATATGCAGCTTAACGCATTATTTTGGTGAGATCTTGTTTGCAATTAATGCAGCTTATTGCAATACTTTTCGTTTTGTTGGGATCTTGTCCATAGTTTGTGCAACTTGTTGCAATACTTTGGTGGGATCCTGTCCATTGTTTATATACTTATATCGCATTACGGCCAAACCTGTCCAAGATAGCTGCCCTTTTGGAGGAGAAAAGTGGTCGTCTAAAACAAGTGGCATCTTGGTCAGGGTCATGATAATACATGTCACTACATGACGGAATCTGGTGTTTGTCAGTTTTGGAGCACATGGCGTTATTAGTATAATCTTAAAGCCTGTTCATTTGCCAGGCTGAGAGGGGTACAACATCCCAGCGGAAAGACCAAGATATTCAAACTGTTTTTATTGAACTTGGGTCTCCTGCATTCGACAGTGAAACACCCAACTCCTACACCACAGACGCTGGTTTGAACAATTTAAAAAACCGCACTCTTAAACTTGCTTGCTCTGTCAGGAGCCATTGATATCTCTATTTTTATCATTGACAACATATGGGTGGTTTTCACAAGTACACACATAATTTGGTCTCTCTCACCACCCGGTTCAAAATGTGTGTTGAGACACACGCTTGATAAGAATTCAACTAAAATTCCTCTTGTACAAGTCTTATTTTTTAGAATTATATGATTTACGGGGCTGTTCGAAGAATCATAATAATATATTTTTTCTTGCTGTATTTGACATTTCTGACATTCTTTCAGAGAGAGGAGTTTGTCAAACTGAACGAGAGCATCCACATGTTGGGAACTTTCTTCCAGCGCGGTGCTCATAAGCCTGTTGGAATTCCCAAGACAAAACTGCCCACAAACTTACGTCATGTGTAAGTGTTACTATTTTTTTCTTATCGCCTCTGTTGCAGGAAAAATTATGAGCTTTATTTGACGTTAATTTGGACTTTCACATTTTTTTTTCATATACTGCAAACTTCTTTGTACCCTTTTCTGTTAGATGATGGAGAACGATATCTAAGACCAATAGGATATGGAATGATCTTTTTGTGTGTGATTATGCCTTATGTGCGTGCCTGATGTGTATTGAAGAGACAGAGAGAAGACTGTCTGTGTGTGTGTGTGTGTGTGTGTGCGTGCGTGCGTGCGTGCGTGCGTGCGTGCGTGCGTGCGTGGGTGGATGGGTTGGGGGGGGGGGGAGAGAGTGAGTGAGAGGGAAAGGGAGGAATGCCCAAAGACACACTATTAGAGTATGCTTGTGTGAGTGAGTTGTGCATTGTTTTGTGTTCATTATTGTGGAAAAATGTAACAAGTGCATTCTTGTGCTGATGCTGAAACTTTGTATGTTGATGTTCTACTGTATCCATCCAAAATTTCCCTCGTGGATCCATAAAGTTTGTCTTGTCCTACCTAATCTTAAACCTCTTGAGCCCTGCCCCCCTGAACCCCTTACATTTGCTTGCCCCTCCTCCCCCCTCCAAACACAACTCCTCTATAAACTGCAGTGGGTGGTTGGCGGGTGCTCTGGTGTGGTTTGCTCCTTCTTTCCTATCAAACATCTAATGTCCTTATCTCCCCTCCCTTTATTTTATGTTTGTTAATCTCTCGTAGCATCTCTAATGTTCGGCGCTTATATGACCTTCGTTATTGTGTTGCTAGTGCCGTAAAACACTTACTAAAACTAAATTGCTTATTTTCTCCATTGCATGCTGACGATTGTGACTGGTGGCCAGAAGGCAGAGTGAACTGTTCCCCATAGGGTTAAAATGTCATTTTAGGATCAGTTAAATCAAATTCCAATATGTTTACATAAATTGATGCTTGTGTAGTTTAGGTTCAGTTTGGTTTCGAGCATTGATTGCACAATTTTAATGGGTTGTGTGTCACTCCAGATAATTAGAGGACAGGTTAGGGTGGAGACCCAAATTTATTTACTCATTCAAAAAGAGAAAGAGTGCAGACCCAGCTGTAACTGTTGTGATGAAAAATTATGTTGGTATATTTTTTAAATTGAAAAGGCTGCCTGCTGAATGCAGTACTGCAATTTTATGGGTTTTTGTGTTTCAGGTTTGGAGTTGACGGAGATAACATCATGGTGACGGGTCTTTTCTCTGATCATTACAGCAGCATGGTATGTTTTGGCATGTTTGGCTGACGTTAAGTTCCATTTTGCAAAAGATTTATCCTTGTACCCAACCCCCTTTTGTGTAACTCCTTGTTCTAGAGGAGATGGTTGCTCCTTTGAACAGCTATGGCCATAGCTCTTCCGTATTGGGAAGATACTGCCAAAGTTTACGCGAAAGACAAAAGAGACAAGGATAGAAACATCTTTTAAAAGTTTGAGGACAGCCTTCATTTTTTAAACTAGGTGTTTTTAACGCTCTCATTAACACGATTTAGATAATTTAGAAGGCAGGCTTTTGACCCTGCCTGTCAGGGCCAACCCTGGCTGAAAGGGATACAACATCCCAGTAGGAAGACCGACATACTTGATAAAATCTCTCCTCACTCAGGAAACAAACTTGGGTGTCCTGCGTGCGATGGTGAATCGCCTAATTGCTACACCACAGGCTCTGATAAGACAGCTTTTATATCAGTTGCAAATTCTCTGCATGTCATCTGTCATATGTTTCTGTTGCTGTTGTCGATTGTAGGAGACCTACATATTGCTACGGGAGTTCCTTATTTTCGACGTCTTTTGAGCTGTGCAACCTCCTGTAACTTACTAGATGGCTGGGGTCATTTATATTTTGGTTGTAGAATGTAGGTCATCTGATCGACTTGCCAAAACCACAAAAGAGTCAGATTTTTACTCTGAGAAAGAATGTAAGAAATACATATTTCTTGTGCTATTAAACTATTTTCTGATTTCTAGATTGTGTCAATTGGGGCTTAAAACATTCTCATTTATTTCACAATCACTGTTGTATATGCTCTCACTTGGAAAAATAGAAGGCAAAAGAGAAAGAGATAGACTAAAAACTTCGAGAACTTGAACAAGTGGGTGACAGTGACGGAGAAAGATTCAAACATTTTATGGCTTTGTTGGAAAACCTGAGCAAAAGAATTAGTGGCAAACCACGGTGGCTGCTGATGTCTGTTTCATATTTGGCGCTTGAAGAAGAAGTTATGACTGTGTCTTTTTTAATTTGGGATAACGCAGGTGCGTGAGGCAGCCTACAGGATTTTCCTCCACCCAGACCAGCATCAGGAAGAGATCCTCAGTAGTCTGCTGACCGCCCGCCACCACCTGGCCCAGCTGGTGGGCTTTGACACGTACGCCCACCGCGCCAACAGGGGCACCATGATGGAGGCACCAGGTATCTGAACTTTGAACTTTTGTTATATGTGTGTCCCCCAGGGATGTCTCCGAGGGTGCTCTCGTGGCCTAGAAGTCAAGGTGTTTGCCTCTCATTCAAAGGTTCCGTGTTCGAATCTGCGTAGTAACAAAAAAATTATCTTCTCTAAAATTGTCTCCTTTCACCTCCTTTTTTGCTTTCTAGCAATGTTCTGTCATCTGCTTTGGTCTCCTCTTTCTGCCCCTACCCCCTCACCTCCTTTGCCCCCTCCTCTGGGCTCCTGACTCTTTCTGCAGTCTTTCAACTGCTACTCTTTGGCTCCTTCTTACTGCTGTATTTCAGCCTCACCCCTGGTCTGGTAGGAAAGATCTACACCTAGCCTTTTTGGACAAGGGCGAAAAATCTCGGAAGTCCTGTGTGCAAGATGCGCAGTTTAAAGATCCCTTGGTGGTCTAAAATCGATAAGAGTAGGCTTCGGCTGCCACCCGAGCAAAAGTAAAAATTTCCAGCCAACTGAAAATGTTTGATGTGTCCCGCGTGCTCATATGACCTTGAGTGTGTTTAGGGGTAGTGGCGGGGGTGGGAGGGGGAAGGGGATGTGGGGGTGAGTAAAAGGCAGGGGTAGGTATATAGTGAGCTTGTCAGGATTGTTCCACCTTATCCGTGGAGAATGGTGTTCTCTGCAGTGATGCAATTATTCAAGGCTTTGATTGATTAGAGAGAGGAGGGTTGGGGGGTAATTTATGGCTTATGTTCTTAGACTGATTTAATATTCATATGTGAGGCAGCGTGGTGGAATAAGGCGCTCGTCAAAATAATCAAAGTGAAGAAACTTGCATTTTTCTGCTGGTTTGTCAGTTTTTACTGAATTTTTGTTTTTTAGCTCAACACCTTTCATGCCCATTAAAGAATACTTTTCTTTGAGGATTTGACCGAAAAACGTTGATTAAAGGCGCAAAATAATATAAATTGTCTGTTACCACAGTCTCTTAAGCTAAAGAAATAACTAATCTTTGGCGGCCATTTTCTCACTGATTTTACCTCTGAAACCAGGTGACCCCCACCTCCTTCATTTGCAAATATCTTGACTTGTATTCAAGATAAATGGATTTTTTTTCCATCCAAATAAAGACAAGTGAACAACCTTTAAGGTGCTACCTATAACTCTACATGTCCCAAAATTGGCGAGAGCCTGATTCCATCGCGTTGTGACACATATTGTTTTTTAACAAGTAATTAAAGGGCATTGTATAGGTCCTTCTTTTTTTTTTTTTACCTCTGATGTTTCGTCTGTCTTGCTATTTTTCCTTGTGCCCAGGGACTTTTAGTTTTGGTGTGCTTCTGTTTATTCAGATTTATTATGGCCTTTGTGGTTTGGGTACTGGTTTGTTTGTTATCCCAATGTGTCCGCCATCTTTGGCATGTTCTTCCTGGTTTTTTTTTCTACAGAGAAAATAACAGGATTTTTACGCCTTCTGTCTCAAGAGCTGAAGTCAAGGTATAATGTTGTCATATCGAGGAAGTGAAATGAAAATAGATTGTATGTTATCATGATGATGACTTTGTTGTTGCTGTCTTAACGGATTCTGCAACCTGCGGGCTTTCACCCTTCAGTTTTCAGTGCTTTGAAAATGTATGTAGAGATTCTTTATCTTTTTCTATGTCAGACTGATTTCCAGGGATGTGCCAGACTAATGTGGTGTAAATGTGATAGGTTGAAAGGGGTAGTATTTACTTTACTTTACTTTTCCGATCCAGCGGCCATTTGGGTTCTAGCCCTTCGGTCTGTCGATATGGCAAAGAATTGACAGGTTTAGGTAGTATTTAAAAAGGCTAGTTACTGGACTAATTTTTTTAGAAATTCTGTAGACATGTTTATATATTGCAATGAAGACTTAACACTTTGCGGTTACTTGACGCAATAATGCGCCGGTGAAAATTATCCGTTCCGATCACCTGGCACATTTCTGCTCCAGGCCCAAGAAGTCGGTTGCAGTCACTTTCCTGGTTGTGTGACTGCAAAGTGTTGAGTATGAAATACAAAAAGATGTCCAAAAAAAGATACAAAGATTTGTTAAAATAGGAAAATGTTCAAAAAGTGGGTCCATGCGATGAAGAAAAGACTTGCTTTGAGGGGAGATAGTACTATAATGATGATAGATTGTAGCGTGGTGTAGAAAGAGTTTGAATCATTGTGTTGTCCAGATGGGGTGTTCTCAGTGTCTGGTCCAGGGAGGGAGGAACATTATCATCAACAGAATACTGTGAAACGCACATGCGAATATAGTCTGTGCTTAGGATAATACTATTAGGATAGCCGAAAGTATGAAAATGTGGGTGGGATGGGAGTGGGGCATAGGGGCATTTTTCTTTTTCTTCCCATATTTTGGACATTGGAATTTCTTAATTCTGCTTTGATTTGAATTTGGGTAGTTTCAGCTTACATCTCTGAGAATCTTAGCCTGATATTTTTGTAAATTTCGTCCATCTGTTAAAATGTGAAAGTGTTTGATGCTGAAGTCTTTTCATCAGTATTATTTCAAAATCTTTACATCATATATCATTTATATCTAGAGGATTTAGCTTTTTTTTTCTTCTGAATGAAGTTGTCATAATAATGGTATGCAATATGATAGAATGAGTTTATGCAGCTTTTTAAAAAAAAAGAAAATTAATGTACTTAGATGTATTCATTTGTCCATTGCACAGGGCTACGGCTGACTATGATGCTATGTTGGATCTGAAGAAAGAGCAGGAGCCTGATGCCAAGGTTTGTGTTCACACTTGTATTAGTTTCAGAGCTCAGTATTCTGTTTTATTGTCAATGTTTCACTGGCAAAGAAATACAGCATAGTCACTTGCTCTTTGGTAGAGATTAGAAGTGAAAAAAGGTATGTGCTGTTCTAAAATCTGCAGGTAGGGTTCTGGTAGGCAGTGATTATTTGTTTTAAAATGCATTTTCTAATGTGCACGCCGTCAGTCAGTTCTACACTGACAGCAGAAACAGCCAAATGATTATGATTTTTGTACCACTTTTGATGAATGTGAGTCCCTTGATGTATATGTGTGGATTGATCAGGAAAAATATTTTCTTGAAGTTTTCATGAAAATGTAATAATCACAAAATAGTTGCATGTAACACTTCAAAAACAGCACAGGAATTATACAGCTGGCCAGCTGTTCAGATGTACTAAACCCCAAATTTTTAAAAATTTTTTTAAATTACACTTTCTTAATCTTTGGTTTTGGTTGCATTTACTTGTGAAATATGTGGCCAAAATTCAAATTCTAAATGTTGAAAAAAAACCCAACAACAATAAAACCAACATAGCGTAGGTACAATTTATGAAAGATTTTAAACAGTTCTTTTCTCTCTCCTCCAAAAAATTCTGCCTATTGAGTTTAGAAGAGTCGAATAGCTTGCACATGATAAACTCTTTTGGGCATAACCCTTCTTCTGCAGACACATACTGAATGACGACTGCACCAGAAATCACCCCATGTGTGCACACACAGAAACAAGATACCATTAAGAAATGTTTTTTTTTTCTTGACTTAACAGGTTGTGATGCCATGGGACCCCCCGTATCTGTCTGCTTTGGGAAGGCAAAAACGGTATGTTCTTTTTGTAGTCAGAGCTTATGTATGGGATTTTGTTTGTGGATATTGGGATGTTTGTCCCATAGAAGGGATTGGTCTTTAAGTCAGGCGTTTGAGGGATCCACTGGTAGGTTCTACATCTTTTGTTTCCATTTGTTTTTATGTCTTACATTTTCCTTGCAGTGAGGGGGCTCTCGTGGCCTAGAGGTTAAAGTGTTGGCCTCTCATTCAAAGGTCCCGCGTTCGAATCCAGGTAGTGACCGAAAAATTTTCTTCTCTAAAAATTGTCTCCTTTCACCTCCTTTCGTGCTCTCTAGCAATGTTCTGTCGTCTGCTTTCTTCTCCTCTTTCTGCCCCCATTCCTTCATCTCCTTTGCCCCCCTGCTCTGGGCTCCTGATTCTTTCTAAAGCCTTTCTACTGCTACTCCTTGGCTTCTTCTTACTGCTGTCTTTCAGCCACACCCCTGATCTTCTGGTAGGAAAGATCTACACCTAGCCTTCTCAGAGGGCGAAAAATCTCGGAGGGCACGTGTACAAGTTGCTCATGTTAAAGATCCCTTGGTGGTCTAAAATCGATTAGAGTAGGCTTCGGCCGCCAACCATGCAAAATTCAAAATTTTCTACCAACTGAAAAAGTTTAATGTGTCCCGCGCGCTCATATGACCTTATGCAGTTGCGAGCGCGGTAAAACACTTACAAAAAACAAAAAAACAAACATCCTTGCAGTGAGCAATCATTATCTTGACCTATTTGTGTTGTAAGTTCCATAAAACTCTGACCTAAACTAAACGAAAGTAGACTTAATATTGTTTAAAAATTTCCCTTTTCATTTCATCCCACGTTATGCACATATACACAGCTTACTATAGTTTCCTCCGTCTCTCCTCAGGACTGCAATGTCCAACATGGACAGCATGCCTTTCTTCTCACTGGGCTGTGTGATGGAGGGTTTGAACCAGCTCTTCCAGTGTCTGTTCGCAGTGTCCCTGCACCACGTGCAGATGGAGCCGGGGGAGGCCTGGACGGAGGACATTCACAAACTGGTCAGTTGATGGCGGACAACTGGGTCCTGACTTTGGGCTTCTCTTGACATTGTCATGGCGCTCATATGACCTTATGCAGTTGCGAGCACGTAAAACCTCTACTAAAACAAACATGACATTGTCAGTTCTCAGCATGTTTTAAATGTACAGTTGGAATTGTCCAAGATGGCCATCCATTGTCCAGGAGAAAAAAATGATTGTCTTAGACGGGTGGGCGTATTGCACAGTGTAGTTATATTATTTTAATTAAAATTGTTGAGGGAGGGGTTGTACAATTGATTGTTTTGGACAAGTGACCGCTGGAGCAGGTTTGATCAAAATTTTTTTCTGTTGGTTTTGTTGATTAGACAGAAGAGCAAATTGAAGTTTTCTTGATGAATTCTCAGATGAAAGGCAAAAGTTCCCTGAAATTGATAGGCGTGGCTGAGATTCATTGGTTGTGCAAATAGAAGCATCAATCTGATGACAACAGTGTTTCAATGAAATATTCAAGGCAGAATGGAAAGTCGGACCCAGATTTTATTTTACAGTACGAAGGACAGTGCTGCCAATAAGCATATTTTAAGCCTTCATCTGTTCCTGCATGCTTATTTTCAACTGGAGCCAATAAGTAAGGAATGTACTTCACTTCACTTCAACTACACCATCTTGAGATTACTTCTGCAATGATATTTTAGTCATTATGTGTCTCTCCAGATAGTTTACATATAATAGATGCTATCATTTTTCTGCAAGTTGTCTTTTTATTTAATTTCTATTGACCAACATCTGATACCCAAAAGAAGCAAAGCAATTTGGGTTGCCGGATGAGAACAACCCAGACCAAACTACTACCCTTTTGCCTTATCTGCTCGTGGTTCTCCTCAGGCTGTCGTGCACAAGACGGAGGGTGTTCTCGGCTACATCTACTGCGACTTCTTTGAGAGATACGGAAAACCAAATCAGGTACTGGACCATTACTTAACTATCATGATTACTTTGCCCCAACTTATTTAACCTTGTAATTCATTTAAGGAGTCTATAAGCAAAAAGAGCAAGGTTCACAAAATGGAAACTGTGGGAGAATCAATTTAAGACTCAAAACTGCAGTACTGTTGCTTTCTGTTGGTTTATTATTTTTGCTCCAGAGTGGGTCCACCGAGAGTGGAGAACATGGACCTTCGTACAAGGGGAAGTAAGTTTTGAATGGAGGGTTTAAGCTACCTCAACCAGCGCTTGTATTTTTCGCTGGCTGTAAATGGCCATTATTATCATGGTTATTGTTATGGTGTCTTCTTTTATCTCCTCAATTATTTTCATAGCAGGCTTCTCATGAAGTCCTAGAGTGACATCATAATGTGGTCAACTCATCCATTTCTCACATTTCATTCTCTAGATTATTTTCTTCTTCCTCTTACTTTATCTGCTCTGTCCTCAAAGTTGTATCAATGGGGATGTAAATCATCTACAGTTACAATCACATCATCATCATCGTCTCTTTCTCTGTAGGACTGCCACTTTATCTGCTCTGTCCTCAAAGTTGTATCAATGGGGATGTAAATCATCTACAGTTACAATCACATCATCATCATCATCTCTCTCCCTGCAGGACTGCCACTTCACCATTCAGGGCGGACGATGCAAAGAGGACGGCAGCTACCAGCTTCCTGTGGTGGTGCTGCAGCTGTCTCTGTCTGGCCCGCGCGGGACGTCGGTGCCCACGCTGCTCAGTCCTGGGAACGTGGACAACCTGTTCCACGAGTTTGGTCACGCCATGCACTCCATGTTGGGCCGAACACGCTACCAGCACGTGACGGGTGAGTAGGGGGGGTGGGGGGCAGGGCGTTGCGGAGTGTTCGTTGTTCGTGTGTTTGCTGTTTTGAGGGTTAAAAAAAAAAAAATCTCCCTTTTTATGCATCAAGCATTTCTAAAAAAATAAAAAGGTATCAAGTATTTTTTTAAATGTACCGCTGGTCTTATCTTCTCAATTTTGAATCAATAGCAGTTCAGAACAGGAACAGTTCTTTTGCCATCTTGCTTTAAAAAAATGTTACTTTCAATATTTTGTTCTTTCTTTCATGCTCTTCCTTGCCATATTTTACCTTTTAACTTGACTTCTCTCCTCGTGTGGATGATTGGCAGGCACCATTTGTAAGTCCTACTTCTTTGCTTGCCTCCTGTTGTTTCTTTCTGTCTGTTTTGTGTTTTTTTTTTTGGGGGGGGTTGTTTTTCTCAATCTCAGACATTCTTTCAACTTGTGTGTGTTGTTGGAGGGAGTCTTTGGTAGGTTATACTTCTTTTCTCTCTTTTTTGTTGTTTTTTTTTCTTTCTGTCTGGCTTTTAAAAAATCCTTACCCCAAATCAGACTTTGTACTTTTGCTGTCTCAGGTACCAGGTGTTCCACCGACTTTGCCGAGGTCCCATCTGTTCTTATGGAATACTTCGCTTCGGACCCTAGGGTAAGTGTGTGGTTGGAGGGTGCTACTTCTTTTCTTTCCTTCCATTGTTTCTGTCTGCCTTTGCTTTTCCCAACTTTTCTTTCCCTGTTTTTTTAAAATCTGCCTGTCTGTGTTGCTTTTTTTTCTCGGACCCCACTACTTGCAATTGCGTCCGCATGATTTTTTTTTCCCTTTTCCATTGTTTCTATCAGTGAAAGAGCATCTGAGCAAAGAAGTGAATAACGATCCATAATGTTTGCGTCAGATCTGGCACTTCATGATGATATTTTTCTAATAGTCTTTCACTTCATCAGGTCATTTCAACATTCGCACGCCACTTCAAGACCGGAGAGCCAATGAAAATGGCTGCAGTGAAGAACCTCTGTGACTCAAAAAAGATGTTCGCGGCTTCTGTAAGTTCAGTTGATTTAGATTAAATTCCACTTTTGCTGAATGTCATGGGGAAATTTTGTTTGGCATACATAATAAGTACACTTACAATTATGTATCAGTTTACAATGTCCCTCAAATATGAACCATTAACTCACTGAGCAGCACGCCCCGATTTGCCTCCAAGCCCCAGAGGACCACCAATTTCCCCCACTTTTTGAAAATTCATAATAAACGAAATGAAATGCTATTTCTTAGAAATTTTCTGTGCTATTTAATAAGATATGGGTTCAGCAGACACAATGAACACATTGTGTGAAGAATGAACGGAAAAAAAATGTATGGGACAGAAAGTTGGGACAAATTTGCCATCCCAGAAAAAAAATTTTGAAGATAAAAAGGAAGTGATATGACAAAGCAGAAATCTAATAAACTTACACAAAATGATTGTGGCAGTTTGTGTTTGTGTGTAGGAGAATGAAACATGAGTGTGTACGATGAAGTAGCATAAAAATGTAAGTGATAATTAATTTTGAAAAAGGAACAAAAATAATAAACTTCCACGGTGACAGGCTGAGAAGTGTTTTCATTGTCAGTGTTGCTAGTTCTAGGACTAGATCTAGATCTGAAAATAGATGTCCCAGGTCTGGGTACATTATATATCTTCTCCACTTTGAGGGCTGATTTGAACTAGAGTTTAGTACTGGGGCTAGATCTAGATCTATCATCATTCCTAGCCGGATCAGGCTGCATATTCGCTGACGGGTCAGATTCACGATCGAGAGATGATGTTTGTCTAGATCAAGACCTAGATCTAGCTAATGTCATTTTTGCAGTCGTCTTCATCACTGCTAGGCGAATTCACATTTTGATTTATGAAGTTATCTATCTGATACTCCTCTATCACTTAAATCTTCACCAAAATTATCGAGAGTTTCAATAAACTTCGACACAACTGGTCGTGCCGTGCTTCGCGTACGAGAAACAGCAACAAACTGCGCGAAAGTTTTTTACTTTCAGTTGTTTAGTCCGTTGGACAAATAACCCGTTTATTCGCACTAAAAAATGGTGAATATACACAAACCACAAAGAACTAGCTTGTCAATATCCTGTTTAAACAACTTTGCAAGCATTTTTAAACTGCTGGGTTTACTTTATAAAGTTTATAGTCAATTATAGTTGAACCCGCATACGCTGCAGTCGCGGTCCCTGACGCGAATTTTACCAGACTGCGTATGCTGCGGGAGCGGTGCTCAGTGAGTTAACCATGCACCATTGCTGGTGGCTATTTTGATGGACCGAGGTTTTATTTTAGCTTGGGTATTCTTTTTTTTTCACTGTGACGGACAAAAATACACAGGTGCCAATGACACTGGACACAGCACAACTACACAACAAACTGAGCGACACAGCACAGCTACTACACAACACACTAAGCGACACAGCACAACTACACTACACACTAAGCAACACAGCACAACTACTGCACACTGAGCAACACATTCACAACTACTACACAACACACTGAGCGACACAGCACAACTACTACACAACACACTAAGCGACGCATTCATAACTACACAACACCCTGAGCGACACATTCACAACTACACAAACACACTGAGCAACACATTCACAACTACACAACACTCTGAGAAACACAGCATAACTACACAACACACTGAGTGACACATTCACAACTACACAACGCACTGAGCGACACATTCACAAGACACAGCACAACTACACAACACTCTGAGGGACACCCGCAAACACTGTGACAGCACAAAACAACTATGCGACGGAGACGCAACAAGAGAATTATCACCATACACCCCTTTTTTGGACCCTTGCCCCTTTTTTTTTTTTTTTTTTCCCCCCCCCCCCCCCCCCCCCCCCAACCTCCTCAGGACATGCAGCAGCAGGTGTTCTTCTCCATGCTGGACCAGGTGTGCCACGGGCCCCACCCACTGCCGGGCTCGACCACAGACCTCCTGGCTCAAGTCCAGAATGAGTACTACCACATCGAGCACGTCAAGAACACGGTGGGTGGTTGGCGGGTGCTCTGGTGTGGTTTGCTTTTTCTTTTCTATCAAACATCTATCGTCCTTATCTCCCCTTTTTCTTTTTTGTGTGTGTTACTCTCTTGTGACCCTTCTAATCTTCTGGCGCTCATATGACCTTATGCAGTTGCGAGCGCAGTAAAACCTCTACTAAAACTATACAAGACTACGTTGAGTGGAGCAGAGAACACTGGCCTGTCATCTCTAAGCTATCTACAAGAGCCCTTCATTTGCCTCTGCCTTGGGCTATAGTCTCCATCTCTGGCTGCTGTATTCTGTTTGTTTTAGGTTCTGAATCTTCTTCTTAAGTCCCTCCTTTAAGTACTTTTAGGCCTTGCTCTCTATCTCTTTCCATAATGATTCCTTCTTAAAACTTGGTGGGTGATGTTCGTATTTGATTTTCTCAATCTACTTTGAGGAAATGGTGGTTTGCAGTTTGGGTGGAAAGGGAGAGGGGGGGGGGGTGCAGAACTTGTGATCAGTGAAAAGAAAAGGAGGAGGAAGTGAAAGAACTAAAATGATAAGTAGAAGAATGAGTGATAAAATAGAGAGAAGAAGAAGATGAAATAAAACAAACAAAACAAAAAGGGTGAGAGAGATGAGAAAGAATAAGTAGAAGAACAAGGGAAAGAGAAGGAAAGGATTGATGGTTAAGTGGATGGATAAGATGAAAGTTTTAAAAATTGTGAATAGCAATGGATAAAAAGGATAAAAAATGACCCTCTCACTTTGTTCACAAATCTAATGATGATGAAAATATCAGCGTTAATAACTCTAACTGGTCACTCTTAAGCACAAGGCGGCTATACCGAAAAATTGTTTTTTTTTAGAAAATCGAAGGTAAAGTTTTTGCCTCTTGTTCAGTTTCTTTAAAAGACAAGGAGACTTTTCTCTATAACCAAACAAATATACACACCAATGAAACCAAACTTCTCCTACAGGTAGGGCAATGCCCACTTTTGGTGTTGGTCAATATTTCTGGTAACCCCCGAAATCTGAGTTTGCCTGCTTGTCCTTTTAAAGGCGACCAACTTGTCTGATGCCCACCATCTCGGCCAGCTGATTTTTAAATTAAAAAAAAATTTTGGTTGAAAAGTTGGCTGCTATGAAATTGTGTTGATGAGGGTGTAGAACATTTGTGATCATTTTCTTCCTTCCCCATCCTCCCTCAGGCCTGGCAGCTTCGATTTGGCCATCTGGTTGGTTACGGTGCACGATATTACGCCTACCTGGTGTCTCGGGCCGTCGCCGCGGAGCTTTGGCACACCTGCTTCAAAGCCGATCCCTTCAGCAGGTACAGTGTGTGTTTCTTCAGCATTTCTCAACTTCTTGGACACGTGGTCTTTGAATATATAGTAAAAGGGCAATAGCACACTCGGACTCCGCCCCGATTTGTTGGTACTGTCGCAACACCTCGTGTAGAAGAAGGAGAAACAGATGCTGAATGACGATGCCTACTAAAGAGATACTGTCGAACTGGCTCTAACAGCCACACAAGTCTAAATAACCACTTC